TTTTAACTTCTTAGAAGCTAATGAAAGAAATCTATTCCAAAAGGATACAACATTATTTATAACATTCTTATCTAGAGCATTAGAAATCTTAATATTGTTTATTAAATATATGATCTCATTTATTATTTTATGTCTACTCCGAATAAACAAGAGAACAACGATATTTGTCTTCACCTTAATTAGTTACAATATACACAGGTTCTCTTCAGAATCCTTGGTCATCCAAATAAATAACAATTTCATGCATATAGGTTTTTAAATATCGTCATAATTCAATACTATATGTGTATAAAGCAATGAAGCACCATCTACACGTATATATAGTAAATGAAATGGTTCATATAGTCACCTTGCGCAAATTCATAAAAGCGCGATATAATAAGGCGAAAGTTTCTTTAAAAGTTTTATTTTCATTTTTTTTGCAGAGCTTTTGAGCATTTTTTCCCTTCAACAGAAGAAAACTAAAAAGTGTTTTTCTTTTTTTCTCTTGTGGAAGGACAGTAATGCTAGAAATCTCGACAAAACAATTGAAAAAAAAAAACTTTAAAGAAACTTTTCGCCTTATTATTTCGCGCTTTTATGAGTAAATGAAATCATTAAATCACGGATGTTTCTTTTACACATACAACTAACTTCTACTGTCCTTACTGCGATCAAAATTTTTTTGGGAACCCCTCTCTGCACCTTGGAAAACCTTTCACAGCTCTCACAGAGTACAGGCAGTAATGTTCGAGGCAGAATGGAAGACTTGGGATGGTCCTCACAAAGAACGAAAGACACAGTTGCACTGGGAAAGGTTCAGTGAGCAGAAAAAGCTGAGCTGAACAGAAAGATTGAGATTGTTAAGTGGAGAAGAATGCTTACTCGTCTATGGTGGCTTGGTCAGCCTTAGTCAATCGACTGGCAAGGGCTCTCGCGGAACAAGAATACTGGGGAACAAGAAGGAGAAGTCATCGTACCCTATTTACGACCTTCTGAAACCTTCTGACATCTTTAAGCCTCGTTTCTACAGGTTGTTGGACTTCTGTATCTCACATTCTGCAATTTAACACAACTCTTCTTCTATTACACAGCTTTATTTTATTATCTCAAGTTTGTACAGAGTACATTACATATTGTGATGCAATAGTTCATGAATTACATGCCTATAATTAGTTACAGAGGCGTTTCTAATATATAACATGTTTTCCGTGATATAATCTTGTTATATTACACCAATAGGGTTTGTTAGTTCAAATTATCATATACATTTTTTTCTAAATATAGTTATTATTATGGATTGCTCAATCTTCAAAAGTTTATCTTTATATTAAAATATGAACTAATAGAATAGGGATAATAATTAAATGTAAATACAACGATAATTTCCATTTCGCTATAGAAAAAGAAACACAGGTTGGGGAAAAAAGATTTTTTATGTTCTTCTCTCGACTTGTGTTTCTTCTTCAATAATAATGTATGATTATTCAATTGATATTGTATATCAAATAAATCATTAGGAGATACATTTTTGAATTTTCAGGACTGATTATTGTTCTGAATAGTTCGTAGAAGGAGAAATTAACTAGTTCATAGATAATTTTATAAGCAACCCCTGATAAATCAACCCAAGGTTATTGCTGTTCATCAGAATATATATCCACTATCCTTGAATATTATTTTTATCTCAATTTCATTCATAAAACATTGCATATTTATATGCTTCAATTTTTTAAAGAATTATTTTCAGTATTAAAAGAGCTGCATTTTCTCTTTTTAACAAAGGTTTGTAGAGAATTTGAAGATTCAGTTAACCATGACACCTACAGCTATACTAAGAATTATTGCTTTATCCTCTTTATCAATTTCAAAGCCTTCTACAAAAGGTATAATGAAAGTGAAACATTTTCGTATCTCGAAAATATTCCAAAAATATTTATAGTTTTAAAATTTGGTATACACTCATGGACAAAACTTAAGAAAGTTTCACCTTTTAGCATAAATATCGGGATTTAGACAATAACTCTGAAAGATATTTCATAAACAGTGACGTTTATTGAATACACTTCAGATAATCGAGTGTAAACAATATTGAGTCTGTCTCCTTCAAAAAACAGATAATTGCGACCTCGTAGGCCGTTAGTTTTGTCAAAGAGTGTAATAATTTGCCACTAAGAAATAAATAATTACAAATAAAAATGAAATATTTACAGTTCTGTTTCTTGAGGCAGAAGCTGTTGTCGTCGGATTCCCTGACGTAACCTTCGAAACAAAAACAGCCGGAAACACATCGTTCAGAACAAATAATCTTCTCATTGTAGTTGGAGCAGTTATGTTGACAGGCAGACCCGCAGGTGAAGTATTGTTCGTTTGGTCTCCGGCATGATACTTCTGAAATAAACACACACATTGTAGTATTATATATATGAATATATTATAAAAATTCTAACAAAAATACTTTATCCTGACCGCTCACATGAGCATTTTAGATGGCAGATGGCCATTTAGAGGGACGAAAATCAACTGAACATTGATTTAACCTATTTTTATGATATTTGTCAAACCCATTTTCTTGATAAATCAAGAAAAGTCAACCACATACGCGTTGGGGGTTGTTGAACTTCGTGAGCGTTGTACACCCAATTAATTAATTGATGTGGCCCGGATAATTTCTGTGGAATAATGGCGATACACCCCGGGAAGGACGAAGAAGACAGCTCAGAGAACTTCACCTGAGGAAATCAATCAAATCAAACGCCACCGCCCGCTCTTCCCGGCGGACACTAGCGCGGCGTGGTCTCCTGACCAGAAGTTTTTTCCTTTGTCTTCTTAATATTTTTATTAAAATAATTTAAAATGATATTTATTTATACCCTCTCCTTTTCTGCTGTTAAGTAATCTACCTAAAGTTATTTTAACTGCCCACAACGTACCATCACTGCGGAGTTTTTACACGCATCTCCGCATCATTGTTTGTGAAACGTTTCACACCCTTTTCTATACAATTTCTTAATAGTTTTAGTGTTCAATAACTTGTGGATAACTAACTGGCTACACTATTTTAATAGGAAATTTCACAATATATGTTGTGATGTGTTTTATCCTGTTGGATGACTAGTGTGGCATAATGGTTAGAAGCAGTCGTGGTGGGTCTGTGATGGATGGTAAGGACACACAGGATCCAGAGACCCAGTGAGGAAATAGATCGGGGAGGAAAGATAGAAGGTCCTAGGACAATCCTTAGAACAACTGGTGTCGAGACCACCTCGGTGAGAACTGTCCCCTGATCATCACATCCAGCCGCTTTTTAAATCGATTTGAGTAAGATGAATTCCCTAGGGGAGTGGAAGTGAAGACTTGACACTTGTTTACCAAGGGGATTGTTTTTTAACCCGGCTATTTTCCCTTGTACTCCCACAAAGACATTTTATTTATATATTTCCAAATATTATAAGATACATATATTATATAATCTAAAATGCAAATATTTTATTTTTAAAACATGTATTTTACTTTCATCATTGATTATTCTTTTTTTTACCATAGATTCAGAACATAACACTTTGAATATTGTTGTAAATATGTTGACCTACCTATTTTTTTAATTCACGAACATAGAATTCATTTTTAAATTCTATATTACTGTGAAAAATAATTTTATGTGTAATTTGCTTCATGTAATTCAAAATAAAAACTACTTGATGGGTAAATAATTGTCTTTCCTATTTTCACGACTGCACCTTCAATTGTTTATCATTCCAACATCAAAACTAAATAATCATAACATATATATATATAACGCCATAAAACATTTAATTTAGTCACAGAGTACTTATTGAGAAGGTTAAGCAAAACCTAAAAAGTGTTCAAATATCAATTCAAGCTAAAAGCTTTTGGTAACACCGATATATCTCCACTATGCCTGACACCCACTATAAGATTATAACTGTTATTTATTTTATCATAAATTATATGATTATAATATATAAAATATCGTCTGTGTATATTAACTTATGATTATACATTAATTTTATTACTACATATCTAAATATTAAAATATAACTTATATTTGTCGCTAATAAATAATATTTTATAAAACCCCAAATTGAACTTAATAACCTAAATTCAGCATAGTAGCCTTTTCTACCTACTCGCCTCTATCAAAGGGGGATCTACATATTCTATGTAATCAAGCTTTTAAATGATTTATCGTTTTTTTTTTGTTTTGGACAAAACTGAACTTTAAAAATAAAAAATCAGCTTATAAGTCGGCATTATATTCTACGCCCTCTAGATTATTGAGGTATATCTAAGAACAATGGATTTATACAAATGATTTCAAATGATATCTTGCACTACTTTAACAAGTTCTGCAGATTCTATCTCAACAACCGTGTGCCGAAATTTCACTAATTAGAAAAGTTTAGCTTTAATTTGTATAGTTTTTTATTTTTATGTCTATCATTTGGTGGGTGATTATTACAATAAACATTATTGATTGATCAAACACACTATAAAATAAGATCTAATATGTAAATAAACTTTCTTACTAGTATAAATATTGCTCTGAATGTAAATTTAAATAACCTTTCACTCTCTCTAATAACATATAAAATATGTATGTATATTTTGAAACTACACCTACTTGTATGTACATACGCTTGTTTGAACATTTATATGCATTTACATAGGATATAGTGTGTTTTGTAATAAATACATTTTTGAAAAAGATACCTTACATTACTTCATTATTTATCACATTACAATCTTCAAATTACATATAAAATACAAAATAATTAACCGAGGGATATATGTAGCTATTTAAGATTAAATTCGTTACAGAAGATAAGAGAGCGAGATTGAGATTATTGAGACTGATTTATAACTGGTGAATCCTGTATAGGGCGAGAGGCCCTAAATAAAGGCTTTTTGTTGTTGTTGTTGAGACTGATTTATTACAATGTTCATATAATATTATATTAGGTTAAATACAGAATAAATATAAATATGAATAAAATAAGTTCCTCAAGCTGGATTTGAACCAGCGACCTAAGGATCACTGCTATACATCTACAGTCCTCTGCTCTGCCAACTGAGCTATCGAGGGATAGAGAGAGAGAGTACTAACCTGTGAATTGTGGCACCAGGAGGAAAAGAAGAAGGAGAAACACAATAAACACCAGTATCTTCCACATTGTGCTGTTGCAATATATGATGCCTTTCCTATTTCTATTTTCAGATGACCTCGATGCACCATCTGGAGTTGCAAAATATACACATATATCAACTATGGAAACAAATTTACATATATATTAAAGTGATTTGTAAAATTATTTTAGAGAGTGGATGATTATTAATTTATGTTTTAAAATAACACACAACATTGTACTGAGATTTATAAAATAACAATAATAAAAGTATTAATATATAGGTCATAGTTTTATATTGTCACACACGCATTTTAATGATAAAAAATTCAGTTTCACGATAAGGAGATGCCTTTTTTTTTTTCTTAATTTATCAACCTTATCCCAGTACAATATCACATTTGTACAATTCTTTTCACAAATTTTAATATATCATTTTTAAATCAATGTAATATATGTAATATTTAACCACTAGTAACTGATTTTTATTCAGAATTTTAAATTTTAAATTGCCTTACAATTTTAAATACATATTAAACACAGAATATATTTCAAGCACAATAGTCACAAAAATAATTGCATCAAATAAATTCTTCATGTAAATATTCTGAAAATTGGTGAGCTATATAATGGTAAGGTGAAAAATAATTGGAATATAAAAAATGATGTAAATTTATTGAAATACACAGTTTTTATAATTATTCGGTGTGTCCTCCTCTTATGGCACGGATACAAGCAGCTATACAATGGGGCATACTGTCATATAGTTTTTTTTATGGCTTCTTGTGGCATGCTAAACAAGTAGGGATGCTATTTCAATTTTTTTTTCTGAAGCTGTTGAATGTTACTTGACTGTGAAGATTGCCAAATTTTCCTTCCGATCATGCCCATGTATTCTTAAATGGGGAAAGATTTGGGGAACATGCTGGCGCAGGGAAGGATGTCAACATTTTGAAGGAAGACTCGTAAGATGTTGGTTGCATGTGGACGGGCATTATCTTGTGGAAAATGACATGATTAATATGCTCATGAAATGGTAACACAACAGGTTGCAAAATATCTTCAATGTATAGCTGAGCAGTCATTGTGTCTTGAATAAAGGGGTCTTACTTTCATTATTGATGCCACCCCACACCATGAAACCAGGGGTTCTTGCTGTATGGCTTTCCACAATACCATCCCTACGTTTAACATGTATCCTGCCATCATGAACCCCAACACTGGATCTGGATTCATCAGAAAAATTGACAGAATGCCATTTTCCCAAAGACGTCTTTCTTCACACCAGCTGAGCCCGTCGCTTCTGTATCTGGCAGAGAATAGTATTTTTAATAAAGCTGGCGACTATGGAGTTCTGCTCCGATAAGACGGTTATTACTGTTGTTCAGAGATGGCCCAGATTCATTCTGCACATGTAGAACTGCTTGAATCATTGGTACAGTTGTTATCCCGTTTGCTACAAACATCTTTCGAATCCTAATTTCCTCTCTCTCTCTCTGTTGTTACTCGAAGGCGACCTGAGCTCGAATCAGCCTCCGCCACTTTAGAGGCATTACTCGGCCGTGTCCGATTAAATTAGCCCTGCCAGGCTCCTAGACATCCTACCTAGAGTAAAAATATTATTTAATAAAGTACCCATTGTTGGAGCAGGGTGACTCAGAGAGGAAATCTAATTTATATTAAATAAACTAATATATATAGTTTTTATTTAATTTTTAAAATATAAATGAGGTAATATATTTATTGTCAAGAAATACACTTTAACTAATAATATGAAATGGGAAATACATGAGTTATCCTGTCAATAATTTGATACAACGTTTTGATGAATGTTTGACCATTAGATTCAAAATAATAAAAACTAGAAAATCAACGACCCATCATAGGAAATAATATGGAATATTTCATTTTACCACTCATTACTTATTCTCTCAATATTTTATGACCTTTCCCAAAAAGGTTTTTTTAACATTGACAAAATTCTACTTCTCATATGAATTCGCAGAGCTACTAGAGAGTTACTGAATAACTGTTTGAGAATTCCAATTCAAATACTTATTATAAAAGTAATTTATATACATTTTAAAGTTTTCATCACAATTCCACACACACACACACAATACAAAAATAGTAATATTTTCAAATAAGTTATCCTTAAATAGACATGGGGCATGCAATTATAATCCTGGTGGGTAGTTAGCGACATAATCTAATTACACCATTATATATCTAAATGTAACAAAATCCTAGGTTGGTTTTGATTGAAAGTTTCATTTAGAGAGACCTAAACGTATATCGCGTATCCCGAGAACTTGATCCTCTTTTTCACGAGCCAGCTGTTTTTTCTGTTGATCCTCTTTGAGCGATTTTTTTTTCTGACCAATCTATTCAAAATTTTGTGTTTGTTCTCTTTTAAATTGTATATATATGTCGAAAACCCGGGTAAGACAACAAGTGAGTTGGAAGCAGTCGGGGTTGAGTGGCAAGGCGTGCATAATGGGAAGTCCGCACGGGACAGTAAGGACAAAGTTTGGGATCAAAAGACGCTCTCCCAGTACGTCTCAAGTGGCACCAGAACCAGGGGAGAGTTGAGGATTAACAGAGGAAAGCTCGGCGTCCAGCCTGAAGATGGCGGGGGCCGTCGTGAGATGATAATGGACCTATTACTGAGCGGCCCTGTCTGAAATATCCTCCCTACCTAACCTACTGTCAAAATCCAGAAAAAAACGCCCCTTTTTCTCCCTCTCCGGATCCCCGGGTATTGATTCTCATTGGTCAGTCTTATGTGGGCCATCCTCCCCTTCCCTGGGGTGGCAAACTGGTGTCACTTTGAGTCGCTTGGAAAAGACGTCATACTTTATTACTTACATATCTTTGTTTAAATTACGAAATCTATATGTGGGGTGGTTGCGTGCGTGTTGGAGTGGAAAGGCTGCTGATGAAATTATTATTATTTTATAATTAAAAATAATTTATTTATAGCCAGAAATATATAAAGAGAAAAAAGGTAACGGCCGTTGTGAGCAAGCCTTGTTGTTTATGACGCCAGTGGCCAGTGGCCAGGATGACGCCCACGCATGCGTAGTGACGTGTTCTGCCAACTCGCGCTTGCCGAGGCGTAGTGTGGTCGCCACACCACTGCCGGTATGTGTATTGAAGCTTTGTCCCAGTTCGCGCTCCCTGAAGCAAAGTGTGGTCGCTTCATATACATACCACTGGCATTAAAAGTCCTACCCAAAAAAAGACAACACATGCTAGAGACGTTAAATTTATATGATAGATGAAGGAATTTGTGACAGGCAAATGATCAGATTTTCAACGTATATGCAAATTATTCAAAATGCGGAAACCCACAAAATGCTGTTAAGAAGAGATTGAATAGTAGGTTTATCATACAGAAATTTCATTTAAAATGTTGCTTCATTGTGAAAAGTTGTTGTGATGCCTCGTGAAAGAAAGAAATGCTCGCTAACACGTTTCGAGATTGAAAGAGGTAGAATTGTGTAACCTGCCAGGTTTCAGGCTGATCATAGTGCTGTGTTTCTGCTCCCGTTGAACGAGATCCTATGACTCTTTGCAGAATATGGAATTGATGGGTTCAGAGTGGTCATACCGAATGACTAACTGGATCTCAGCGGCCCATTATAACTAACAGCACAGAAGAATGACATGTTATCCACATGGCTTTTTTTTTTTTGTTAATCTGTAATATAGCAATGTCAAGAACCCTTAGTCAAGAAATGGGGTTGTTTTCAAGTCAAAGGTGTTTGCTCAAACATTTCGACAACAGTTACAGCAGCATGGACTAATGCTCGGCGACCATCGCTTCAGCTTCACTTTATGCTACAAGGAGAGAAGAGCCTTTTGTGGTGTTATCAATAACAATCCTGGGTTTAGGAAGGGCGACGTCGTGGTTTCAGGCCAATTCAGGCTTTTTCGTAGCACTATAATGGTCGCAACCGTATATGGCGAGTATCATACTGGCCCATCAAATGGCCCAAGAGTGACTGTGGAGAGCAGACAGACCGCAATGCTCTGTTGTATGTTCCAGGGTACAGTGCCAAATCACACAACAGCGTCAGGGGCGATCGCATATGCAGGGCCAATGGGGAAACCGAGCAAGCACGGCGGCACATGCGAAAGTTGCAGCTACGTGCTAGGATTCCGAGTCACTTGAGTGATCAGACTCCTCCGCGAGGACACGTGGCTTAAGTCTTTTAGAGGCCTTCAGGAACTCCAAGCATGCTCGCCAAGTGCTTCTATTGTAGATAAAGTACCTAAGTGACCCCAGAGTGTACCCCATTCAACTTCACAGATGGAAAGGAGGCGTAGTCTAAGGGCGTCAAGGCTGCTAAACTCTAACACGATGTACCTCAAGGTTTCTTCCCTGTTGGTATCACAATATGGGCAGTAGGGATAATCAATAACCCTTATCCTGTGGCCAAAACTGTCCGTCCACGTGTGTCCAGATAGCAGACTAATCACAATGTGCTCGCTCGGGACGATGTACTCATACCTTTTGCCTGAGAGACTCATTGGAGTAATGACAAAGCAGGTGTAGATAGTAGGAGCTGAAAAGAGGAATCTGCTCTCCCACGCTTCACGCGCCCGCCCGTAGATTGTCGCTTTTATATACGACAAAGGAGCGAGCCTGTAGCAGCTTGGGTTTGCAGACTCCATTCCCCGCTCTGCGAGTGTGTCTGCAATGTCGTTACCCACGGTTCCGCTGTGTCCCTTGATCCATTGGATGGTACACCTATTCCCATTGCGGTTCAGCCTCGAAATGAGAAGCAGAGCTTCCCTGATAAGGTAATTACCAGTCCTAGAGATCAGAACTGACTTCACGACTGAGAGATTGTGCAGAAGGAATCCTAAGGTTAGGTGGTCAGGTAGTGTGGTAGCGTTTTTGAGAGCAATGGGGTGGAGAGGACATGAAAAACACAGGTGCGCAATTGAGACCG